AATGATCCTTGGCCAGAGACACCTTTTAGTCCTTCCATCACTTGAGGGTTGTTTTATGCATCATCTGGAACATGGCTACTTCCAGGAACCTCAGCATGGCCCTCTGAGGAAGAAGGGAGAGATTGCCCCTTCGAAATGGCCCATCTGCTGGAGCCAGAAAAGGAGATGGTAGGACACTCTGTTCCTCTGGGACTTCTTTTGTGTAAGGAAAGGAAAGAAGTTTCAAGTCCAGGAGCCTTGGATTCTCTGGAGGGATAGCAGGAGGAGCCCTGGGAAACAGGATGTCTAGATACAGAGATGGAAGAGGTGAGGGGCTCCCCTCTCCAGGTATTCCCTGAGAATAGCCACAGTCTCCAACTGCTGGGAGGTGGTGTGGAATAGAAGCCCCAGGACCCAGACAAGCCTGGTACGATCCTTGACAGGGCATTGGGAGAGAAGGACTAGTCAACTAGTAGGGTGATGTACAGCTAAGAGGCTGCCCTGCCTCCAGAGGGGCCCTGTCAAAGGGGTGGGGCCCAGGGTTACCCAAAAGGAGGGTTTTCCAAGGGAATTTCTAGTATGAGTTCAACAACCTCTCTGTGCATGCTCAGGAGCTCTTTGCTGATTATTTGCAATGTACATCCAGTGAAGCATAAAGAGCTTTTGACAAAGAATGATCTGTTGTTCTGATGGTGTAAAAGGGGGAAGCACCTTTTACACCTTGAGGGGAGAAACCAGCAGGTACAGGGGCCATGCTGTCAAGCATTTCACAAGGATCCTGAAAGACCAGCTTACTCAAGCTTCTGCCACAATGCAAGATTAAACTATGCAACAACAATATGCCACAGTTGTCACATATGATCCTTGTTTTAAAAACACCAACATTTTTGGTATGGGTGTAATAAATTTAGTCCTTGACTCAGATAGTGCTACAAGATTCTGTCTTGGTCAGATTGATCCTGGTATGACTGAACAAACCAAAGTTTAAGGCAGGGGTGAGCAATCTGGTGTCTCCAACTGTTTTGGATTATGTCTCTTATACTTTGGTCAGGCTACATAGTCTAAATATTTTGGACCTCGTAGCTTCAGTAGTTATTTAAGGTGCTTAATTTTGGTTTTTAAATTTCCCTTGTGAAATGTTATGTTTTATTCAGTATTTCATGATTGTTTAAAAACTGCCCAGAGTGTGTTTGCTATTGGACAATATAGAATAAAATTAACCATCATCATCTCCCACCAGATCTGGCCACCATGGCAAATGATAAGGAATTGTGGGAGTTGTAGTCCAAAATCTCTGAAGGACCAGAATCCCCCTGGGTTTGGACATAAAGAGGACTTTTTGGTTCATTCAGAAGTGTAAGCAAGTGCTTCTGATCAACTTCTTTCCACTGCACTAGAGGAAGAGAGGGCCAGGCTGGAGCATGAGTGCCTGAGGTTGGTTAAGAAAGCAAAATTATGGTTTACTTTATGTGTGAAATATGGTTATGCAGGTTGCTAGGTTACTATAGACTAGCAACCTAAATTGTATTAAGCACTATCATGTTATTCAATCTAAGTAAATATTATGGAAATATTTTTATAAGTATAATGCATATTGAAAGAAAAACCAACAAGAAAACTTAACTTGCACTTATTCTGGATCAGTTCTATGGACTTCAATGATGACTCATCAGCATAAATGCAAATAACATATGGACCTATTCGATTTGTCATAGCAGGACATGCTTTAGTTGTCAACCTTTATAAAAACCTGCAACCACTGACTCCAACATAGTTTACAGTATCACAAACATGGAGTGGGCTTAATAGCTAATGCTGCTATACCTGAGAGCAGTGGTTTTATCTAGCTGCAGTCATCATAGTCATTCACACCATTACTTCAATAACTTCCATTAGAATGTCTGCTTATTAATACAAAAATATATAAAACACCAGTGGCACAGCCAAGAAAGAGACACAAGCTGATTGTGGCTATCTGCATGCTTGCTGGAGTTCTGCAACATCAGATGCCAAAAATTCTGTAGAATACAGAATTCTTAGATGCAACAGCAGCATAGCTTCCAACTGCCAAATGACCCATCAAGGCAGTAACATTTTCCATATGCTTGATGGAAAAACAAAAATAGAATTAGAACTGTGCACTCAGGACTGCATAGGAATGAGCCTGTGGGGCTGGTCAAATGCCAATTAAAATCATTTCGGTTCTGATCAAAACTAAAATATTAAATAATTGAAAAATTACAATGCAGGTTTGTGTGCATGTGAGAAGACCATGTGTGTTCAGTTCTAGTTGCAATACTACACTGATGTTAAGTTGCTAATATGGTTCTAGTATTCTGTAAAATTTCAGCTGAATAGATGGGTTTTCTACCTTGCAAAACATCAAAGCTTTTGAAAGAATAATAAAACCTTTTCACATATAGTAACACTTAAAACAAATTACACTTTTATTTTAAAACTACCTGAAAGTGTCTGTAAGGAGGCAGCATAAGTGACAAGACCAGAAATGACAAACACTGACATGTCTTATCCACAGCAGAGAATCTAATATTTTGAGACTACAACTTTGCCTAGTCCAGCTAGAACAGGCAAAGTGCTACAGGAAAGGGTGTGAATTGCTGTCACGAAAGCATCAGTGGGAACTTGCATAATTAAATGATACCACCCAAAATGTGTTCTTAATTGTCACAGGCATGGAAAGTAAATAAACACACCTCATGTCAAATAGCAATAGTACTCTGAATTGGGACTGGAATGGACTGTGGCAACCTTCAGGAAGACAGGAGCAGATACCTCTTGCAGTCCAAGGAAGGACTGTGAGAGGAATTAAGATTTTTGTAACAATGCTGATCAGCTTGGTCATAGAATCATGGTTCTCCTCAGGGATGGGGAGTAATTGCTGTATGGAATGACATCCAGAAACCAGGTCAAATTTGATTGGATCATGTGAAGCAGAGGTAAACCATGTGCCCTCAGACAGCTTCACAGGCATCAAGCAAGGTGTCTTTACCCTCCTAGTTTAAAAAAAAACAAAACCACTTTTTTTTAAAGCTAACACTTGGGATCACTTCAAAGTAACATGAAGGCCTATGCTGCTACTGGCCTTAATTCCCATGCAGACTTCTGGGCCACGTTTGGGGTTCAGAGGCATTCTTAGGAAAGAAAAATGGTGACGGTCCGTAGGCCAATTCTTTCCTCTGCAGTTCCCTAGGTCACACAGAAAAAAGAAAGAAGGGGGAAGAAAAAGAGAATCCTGTCTGAAAAGTGAGCGAAGGCACCAGAACAAGCAATTGGAGGACTAAGAAGGGCAGCAAGAAGCTAGCTAGGGCTGGCAGATTGAACTGGGTGCAATCTGGGGGTTGTGCAAGATGGTGCACTTGTACATCTGAATGAATGGGGCTGCAAGTACGTAAGAAAGAGGGAGAGAGAAGGGGTTTTGATGAAGATTTTGGAGCAAAGTGTGGGCTCACATCTTGTAGTGAGGAGGAAATGGGAATGTCTGTCTCTGCACATATACAGGGTATGTGTGCTATACATAAGCTGTGTTGCTACTGAAAACCACGGATTTGTAAGAACTGCTTAGTGTGTTGGGGCTCAAAGCATGGCACCTCTACCTCATACTTAGTCTCTGAGTCAGTCACTTGTCCTTTATAAGATGCCATACCTCCCATGGCTGCCATACTGTGGTGGTGCTCAGGACAGTTCTTAAACTGCCAAATATAGCTACCCACAGGTACCAGAAAGTTGCCAAGCCTTATTTAGGGACTGCAGTTGGAGGGAAAAACGGAAAGGGTAAAGGTGTCTGTGGTCATTGGACATTAGAGAAGGCAATTCCAAGACAAGAGGAAGGGATGGGGGGTGGATGAAGGGCAGAAAGTGAAAGATTGATTCATGCTCATGAATTTATTTCTATGTGAACACTTGCAACATCTTTCTTAGGCCCATCTCTGTAAACACTGTGTAAACATTCACAAAGAACACCAAAGGATGCACATTTCTACTCGTAAATTACATGCAGCGGAGAAACAGCAAACTGTTTCATATCAATAATCTAATATCTTATCTCTGCACATGGTTTCTGAAAATTCAGCTGGCACTTCAGTAAGGGTTTAGGGGGAAAGAAAGAAACTGACCTGATTTCATAGAACTTATCTCAGTAGAAATGGTAGTTTTTACTTCCAGTTCATTTGAATAAAACAATCCTGTATGACACTAAGCTGGGCAAAAGGGCGCTCAGGATGTTGTGCTACGACACTATTCCAAATACAGGAAGCAAGTGAGGATACAGTCCTTGCCCCAAAGGGTTGGCACTATTGCAGTATTGTTGGCCATACGATCAACACTGGAGGTGGGGCCATGCCGCTGTGCAGAGCACACCCATTGGTGCATGGCAAAGTGTTGCAGAAGTAAGTAAATATCCAAACTGGAAACAGCTCATCTGTATACCGTAAGACCAGCTCCCACAGAGTCATGTGTATTCATACGGAAATGTACAGATTGGATAGATAACTGGCTTCCTACTGCTAGAATGTTACAGCAGTCGACAAGCAGCAAAGCAGAATGTAGTCATCCTGCCTATAGCACATAGGATAATGTTAGCGCCCCGTTCCGTGAACGACTGTTTTGATTTTAGCTTCTTAAGATCAGTGTATATGGATAGAGGGAGATTCAGCAAGGGATCCTTGTTTTATTAGCAACACCGCAGAGTTCCTGGGACTCCTACACACACGCATGCATGCCCACACACACACACACACACACACACACCCTTTCTGGCACCTCATTAAAAAAAGAAAAGATAACATAAAACTACAATGGTCCTAGAATCATTAGTTTAACTCAACAAATATCTTTTCGGTATGGAACATTGATAATTAAAGTCAGTTTGTAAAGGTGGCAATACCTGAACCTTAAAAGCAAACAACAGAAACAAGTACCTTAATATGCAATGGCAACATGAAAGAGGAATTCATAATGTTCAAGTATATAACCTAGCATTTCCCACTGATGCAGCTACTTACATCAAACAAATTTTCTATGTACATTTCTTCATTGACCTTCTCTCGGAGAATATCTTGATTTTGACGAACAAACATAATGTAAGTATCTGCCAGATCCATCCCTGGTTTCTGTGAGAGGGAGAGGGAGAGAGGGAGGGAGGTGGGGAGAGAGAGGAGGAGAGCAGGAGGTGAAGGGCAGAGGTATAACTTGCCGTGTTAGATAGCCTTATTTTTTCATATACATAAAAATTATACAAATACAAACATGCACACATATACACATTAGTTATCTCATCCAAAGTTCATTTCACGTTTGAAAGTGATTTAGAGCAAATCTATAAAATTTAAATTTGATGAACGTGAAGCCTGCTTCTTATAATGGAAGCTGACTCGGGCCTATTTTGAAAGAGTTTTTTGTAATATATACAGTAATCTATGTTTCAAGCATCACTGGTATATATTTACTTTCCAGATGTGTATTTTGCAGGTGTTGACACAGAGAGGCAATAATACAGAAAGAAAAAATACCAGTGCACAGTAGTGAGAGAAAGATGGCATATTGATTATGAATGAATAGGCTTCTGTAAATAGCATGAGGAGTTACATGCGCAATACTATGAGAAAAAATATTAAAGTCCATTATATTTACTCATCCATACATACACAGTTGTGGTCTGCAGCCTGGATGTATAGTAGCATAGCATGGATATGAAAACAAAAGATGGATACATTACAAGTCAAGAAAACACACAATACTTTTGACTGCTCTCCCTCCTTCCCTTCCCCACTTGGTTTTGATCCTGAAATCAGCCCTGGTTTGCATCTGATGAATTCATGAAATGGTTTGGAAAAGGAGCCTTTGGAAAACCCCAAAGACTCACTTTCATTATTACTTTATTTCCAAAATCTGAAAATAATGGAAATCTGAAAATCTTCTACTTGCTGGTAGGAAGAAGACCCCAAGGAAAGGAGCTATTCAATGCTATAAGTGAATTAACCACAAATGGACAGACAGTGTGACTTTGGAAAAGGTTTTAAAATTAAAAGTCAGAAGATCCGGAAGGAGAATGAGGAAAACTAGAAGGAGGCAGACAAGCCTATCATCTTTGGCTCATAGCTGGTAAGTAACCCAGAAATGCAAATGGAAATGCCTGTTAAATAGTATGATGCAGAAAAGCAAGGCAAGTTACACCATACATTTTTATTGTCCGACTAAGCTCCTGCTTGCAAGGAGAAATTCGATATGCAACCCAGTGATTCTCCAACACAGTAAATATGCTCATGAACACACTTGTACAATCATGTGAGTGCTACAGACAGTACTGATGCCAAAGTTAACTCCGAAAGAAACTATGGAAGGATCATGCTTTTGTCTGGTATAACATTCCCATAATGCTGACTTTCCTAAGGAACAAGATGTGAGGTAGTTTGAAATGCAGTACTGAAACATCACAGAAAATGGTAAGAGTGAAAATAACTGAAAACTTGTGGGAGCGGATGGGGAAATCAGTGAAGAAAAACCTGCCACCCACAACTTTCCTTGGTGAGGAATAATAGCTGATCCAGAAAGCAAGAAGAGCTACCGTGGTATGTTTTGTTTCTATACAGACTATTGCAAGAGAAACTAATAGATGGCTAGGTAAAGGTTACACCCACTTGCTGTCATGCCAGTTCTGTGTTCCAACGTTTCTCTCAAGAATCTGGATGTAATTTTTCACTGCATAGCTCAAACTTAGAAATAGCAGTTTGGTGAAGATTGACACCACTGAATGTGTCAATTACATCTGTTAACTTGGAGGTGTTAAATGAAACAATATTAGAACATGAATTTGCTAAACACCATTTGTTATCAACGATGTCGTTTTTACTAATTTTATTTAAATTTAAATCCTTAATTTTCTTTAAGAATTGAAGAATACCTGCTCTCCCCAGTAAATAAATAAACAAACAAATAAATGTCTAGGTCAGCAATCTTGCTTCTGTTTTTGCTAAATTCACATCATTAGAATAATTCTAAAAGTCTGTCAGACATGGTGCTCAGTGAGCTTCAACTATTTGTTATTTTCATTTAAGACAGTATAAACATATTTTTCCTTTTGACTTCTATATGTGCTGATCACGAATCTTTGGGGCTGAAATTTATAGCAGACCACTAAAATATAAATTTGTAGGATGCAACTTGTCGGCATTTGTATATACTTTGATTCACTATTTGTTTTCTACTTTTAAGGCACATAATCCCTTAATCATGTCTTAAAAGGATGTCAGGGAACGTTGGGACTGAAGGTTCATCCCTCCCAGCTGATTTCTTATCAAGTATCAATTCTTTTGCCCTTTTCAAGTTGAACTTCTTGTCAGCGCCAATCAATATAATCATATTTGGAGGAATGTCCCCATCCGTGTACTCTTGCCCAGACTCTCAGATCTTCCTGAGGTCCTTGTTTGGAAGGCATCTCTGAAGGAGTTTAGAAGAGTAGCTACCCAGGGAAGGGCTTCTACAATAGCATGCTGGCTTTGGAATCCGCTCCCCAGGGAGGTGTGCCTGGCACCAATGCTTTATTCTTTTCAGTGGCAGGCCAAAACCTTTTTATTTACCTATTATTTTAAGGGTCGATTATTTTATCCTATAGTTGAGTTGTTTTATTGTATATGATGGTTGTATTTTAATGTTCTGTTACACTCTGATTGTAAGCCATCTTGAGATCCACCTGGATAAAGACAGGATAGAAATGTTTTAAATATATTAACTACAGAATGCTAGTTAGCCATGGTTAAGGACTCCACTGATGCAAGACTTAACTACAGTTAATAGCAGGCAGGGAGAATTCACACTGGAGAAGTGAGCGAAAGGGATTCCATAGCTAACTCTTTTAACCATAGCTAAAGGGATCAGGAACATTGTGTGTCTTACTGCATTTACAGAGGTCCCTATTTCAGCACATTAAAAATGTACATTATGTCACAATGTCTTTGGGGCCAGAACAAAGCCACCTTTGTGCTTTGTACTGAACTCAGTATATCTAACAACTAATGTTTAAAGTTAAGGTGAAGCAATATTTCAACATTACAGTTTTATCCCGACATTTTCAGGATACTCCACAACAGTAAAAAATTAAAAACTGTAGTGGATAAACATCACCCATTAAAGGTGTTTTTGAGTTAATATTATACTGAAGAATAATTCTTCCCAACAAGTCACTCTAATAGCTCTGTGAAAAATTGCTTTCAAATTAGGTTTCTAGATAGAAAAATATATATTGTGAAAACAGTCAGTTCTTGGAGTGTGGGGGAAATTCCCATTAGCAATCTTTCTCCCTTTTCTTGGAGATGTTTACCTAATTTGTGACATATGGGAATTTCACACCTAGTGAATATATTTTCATGTAGCTTGTGGCATGAGACTCTAATCATTAGAAGAATATACACAGTAAGATAACTGCAACAGCTGGTGACATTTACCAATTAGAATTGCAGTTCTTTAAAACACTTTATCCTTTTTTCCCCCTCCAGTGTACACAGGGTAATTATCTCTGATAAATTGCTAAAAAATCTAATTTTCCTCTTAAATAGTTTTACTTACTGTACATACATGCCTGGATAAATGTGATTCATTCTCCAAAGAACTTACAATGGCAAATCTCTCCATTTTAAAGTTAATGAAGCTAGATTAATCAGCTAATTAAGAACCATTAAAACTCTATAAAAGTTTCCTTAAAGTGGATGCACTTTCAGTAATATAAATTTATTCACTTTTAAATTTTAAAACAAGCTTTCTTGTCACTATAAACTATCTTCAACTTTATTTAGAAAGCTTTTTTTTAATGGATTCATTTACAAATCGAAGATTTAACCAGATGCTTTGTTATTCAGTTCAGGATCATGCATTTTAGGATCTGAGAGTGGAAAAAAGTCTATAGCTGTTCCATATAAAGTGATTTATGATTACTGAAGAAAGATTGGAAGAAGGGATATCCACACAAAGAACAGAATTGCATGTGTGTCCAGAGCTTTGCCAGATGTTTTCATATTATTGTTCATTCCACAAGCTGTGTGTTATATAAATGCACCTGGCTGAATCTTGAGCTTACACACACCCACTTGGACACAGCTTCAGGGACATTGGAAGCATCACTAAGGATAAGGTTATCAATGGCCACTACTCATGATGGTTATATGCAACCTCTAGGATCAGAAATAGCATGCATTTGAACACCATTTGCTGGGACACAAAAGAGGAAAAAGGCGATTGTCCTCACGTTCTGCTTGTGAGCTTCCCGTAGGTCCTGAGACCATTTGGTAGCGGACGGTATACAAAAGTTTTAAATAAATAAACAAATAATCTTGTTGACCACTGCGGGAAACAGGATGCTTGCCTGTATAAGCATGCAAACAGCAGTTGCTAAGCAACAATGTGAGAAAGCTTTCCTATCTGTGGGCTTCCCATGGGTCTCTGCTTTACTGCACTTAGAAACAGGATGCTGGACTAGATAGCCTCTGGTCTTATCCAACTTTCATGTTCCTATGCTTGTGGATTAACCATAACTGATTTTTCATTACTTTTGGAAAGGACAAAATATAAATAGCATACTTTGTGGCTATTAACAAGCCAGGATCGTAAACAAAGTTTGATCTTAGCTTTTTAAAACAAACCACAGATTAAAACAATCCAAGTTCGTCCTTTTTAAAGGCAACAATACACCATAATCTTAAACAAAATGTAGATATTCCCTTCTGAGCCTTTTTCCTGTTTGTCTAGTCCAGTTTTTGGATTCTCGCATGATGTTGTCTATTTTCATAACAATGCTGTGAGATCAATTAGACTAAGATGTAGTCACTTTCCCAAAGTCAATAAAGGCCAAACTATATGTGATCCTCCTTGCACTCGAAGTATAACATCAGTTTATAAAATTTACTCAAGGCAAAGCTGCCAAAGAAGAGATAAATTTGAAACAAATAGTAAGGAAATGTAGTTATTGGCCTTTGCTATTGTGATTGCCCTATCCCAAGACAGTTTTCCTCTTGTTAGGTTCTAGACTTCTGCTTGGAATCTGTAATCCACAGGAAATAGTATGAGGAAAGTGGAGAATAAAACAAACAGGGCTTTTCTACACAAGGTAGTTAATCATTGT